AGAACATATTTTATTCAGAACAAACTAGATTTAAATGAAGATATTTTGAAACCCTTTGCAGAGTTCAGAAAGAAAGTCAATATTGATCTTTTTTACAGTAGTAGGTCCTTTCCGTTGTTCTACTGGGGGACTTCAACACCCTTGTGGGCAATGACAGTGACACTTGGGGAGGGGTGATTGGGAGGAACGGCTTCCCCGATCTGAACCCAAGCGGTTTTCTGTTACTGGACTTCTGTGCTAGTCACAGTTTGTCCATAACGAACACCATGTTCGAGCACAAGAGTGTGTCTATAAGTGCACGTGGCACCAAGACATCCTAGGCCGGAGGTCGATGATCGACTTTGTAGTCATGTCATCTGACCTCCGGCCGCATGTCTTGGACACTCGGGTGAAGAGAGGGGCTGAGCTGTCAATTGATCACCACCTGGTTGTGAGTTGGGTTCACTGGTGGAGGAGGAAGCCGGAAAGACCTGGCAGGCCCAAGCGTGTAGTGAGGGTCTGTTGGGAACGTCTGGCGGAGCCCTCTGTCAGAGGGACTTTCAGCTTGCACCTCCGGGAGGACTTCTTCCAGATTCTGGGAGAGGCTGGAGATACGGAGTCCGAGTGGGCTTCATTCTCGGCCTCTATTGTTGATGCGGCTGCTCGGAGCTGTGGGCGTAAGGTCTGTGGTGCCTGTCGCGGCGGCAATCCCCGAACCCGGTGGTGGACATCGGAATTAAGGGATGCTGTCAAGCTGAAGAAGGAGTCCTATCGGGCCTTGTTGGCTCGTGGGACTCCTGAGGCAGCTGATGGGTACCGACGGGCCAAGCGTGCTGCAGCCTGTGCGGTTGCGGAGGCAAAAACTCGGAGCTGGGAGGAGTTTGGGAAGGCCATGGAGGAGGACTATCGGACGGCCTCAAAGAGATTCTGGAAAACCGTCCGGTGCCTCAAGAGGGGGAAGCAGTTCTTCACCAACACTGTTTACAGTGCAGGGGGAGAGCTGTTGACTGGGGACATTCCGAGGAGGAAGCCGAGGCTGGGGACTCGGAGACGGACTCATCCATCACCCTGGCTGAAGTCACTGAGGAGGTTGGCAAGCTCCTTGGTGGCAAGGCTCTGGGGGTGGATGAGATCCGTCCTGAGTACCTTAAGTCTCTGGATGTTGTGGGGCTGTCTTGGCTGACACGCCTCTTCACGCCTAGCGGTCGGGAACAGTACCTCTGGAATGGCAAACCGGGGTGGTGGTCCCTCTGTATAAGAAGGGGGACCGGAGGGTGTGTTCCAACTACAGGGGAATCACACTTCTCAGCCTTCCCGGTAAGGTCTATGCCAGGGTACTGGAGAGGAGAATCCGGCTGATAGTCGAACTTCGAATCCAGGAGGAGCAGTGTGGTTTTTGTCCTGGGAACACTGGACCAGCTCTACACTCTCCATCGGGTGCTCGAGGGTTCATGGGAGTTTGCCCAACCAGTCCACATGTGCTTTGTGGACTTGAAGAAGGCATTCGACCGTGTCCCTCGTGGTGTGTCCTGTGGGGGGTGCTCTGGGAGTATGGGGTTCGGGGCCCTTTGCTAAGGGCTGTCCGGTCCCTGTATGACCGGAGCAGGAGCTGTGTTCATTGCCAGCAGTAAGTCAGACCTGTTCCCGGTGCATGTTGGACTCCGCCAGGGCTGCCCTTTGTCACAAGGTTCTGTTCATTGTATTTATGGACAGAATTTCTAGGCGCAGTCAGGGGCTGGAGGGGGTCCGGTTTGGGGACCACAGGATTTCATCTCTGCTGTTTGCAGACAATGTTGTCATGATGGCTTCATCGAACCAGGACCTGCAATGTGCACTGGGGTGGTTTGCAGCCGAGTGTAAAGTGGCTGGGATGAGGATCAGCTCTTCTAAATCTGAGGACATGGTTCTCGACTGGAAAAAGGTGGCTTGCCCTCTCCAGGTGGGTGGAGAGTCCCTGCCTCAAGTGGAGTTCATGTATTTCGGGGTCTTGTTCACGAGTGAGGGGAGGACAGAACGTGAGATTGACAGACAGATCGGTGCAGCTTCGGCAGTGATGCGGTCGCTGTATTGGACCGTTGTGGTGAAGCGGGAGCTGAGCCGAAAGGCGAAGCTCTTGATTTACCGGTCAGTCTTTGTTCCTACTCTCACCTAAGGTCATGAGCTCTGAGTAGTGACTGAAAGGAAAAGATTGCGGATACAAGCCCTCGAAATGAGTTTCCTCCGCAGGGTGGCTGGGCGCTCCCTTAGAGATAGGGTGAGGAGCTCAGTCACACGGGAGGAGCTCGGAGTAGAGCCGCTGCTCCTCCACGTTGAGAGGAGCCAGTTGAGGTGGCTCGGGCATCTGTTCCGGATGCCTCCTGGACGTCTCCCTCGGGAGGTGTTCCGGGCATGTCCCACTGGGAGGAGGCCCCGGGGAAGACCCAGGACACGCTGGAGGGACTATGTCTCTCGGCTGGCCTGGGAACACCTCGGGGTCCCCCTGGAGGAGCTGGAGGATATGTCTGTGGTGAAGGAAGTCTGGAAGTCCCTGCTTAGGCTGCTGCCCCCGCGACCCGGCCCCGGATAAGCGGACGAAAATGGATGAATGGATGGATGGATGGATGGATAGGTCCTATCCTTGTTGTTGTTGTTTGTTTCTTTTGATTCTTTCTGAATGAGAATCATTCAGTGGGTATGTCATATCCCATGTAAGCTATTTTTTTAATTACATTTGATCTACTTAGATATATATTTGGAATGCACTTTTGTAAAGGCGAGAGTGGGGTGGGATATGGAAGACATTTCAAGACATTGTCAAATTCTGTGGAAAAATGCGGATTATAGCTGTTGCAAAAATCTGTAAAATATATTGTTGATGAGTGTAGGAATGTGTAGAGTGACGTCAGAGACTGGAGCTGCACTTTGTCACTGCAGCAACAAACTACACACAACTCACATTTACACTGAAAATAATATGAAATAGATGTGTGAGAGGCTCTGAAACTAAAGGAAATATAGGACTGCTGCAAAAGAAATATTAGACTAATATAAGAATAAGAAATAAAATACAAATAGATTCATTGAAAAAAATAAATTAATCATCAATAAGTAAAAGCCTTTAAATCCATCTTTCATGACTACATCTGTCCATATTAAACTCTAATGAAATGTGTGTCTCCACATGGGACTAACTGCTGCTGTGTTGTGTTTTCTCTCCATCAGATTTCTGTGATCTCACTCTGGATCCAAACACAGCGGACAGAAACCTCAAACTGTCTGACAACAACAAGAAGGTGACACGTGTGAGAAAGGAGCAGCTGTATCCAGATCATCAGGACAGATTTGACTACTGGCCTCAGATTCTGTGTTCCACTGGTCTGACTGGTCGATGTTACTGGGAGCTCGAGTGGAGTGGAGGGGTTTGTGTATCATTGTCTTACAGAGAAATCACAAGGAAAGGAGGTGGTATTGACACTTTGCTTGGAGGCAATGATCAGTCCTGGAGTCTGGAGTGTTCTAAAGGTGGTTTTTCTGTTTGGCATAATTACAACCACACACCCCTCCCTCAGCCCTGGTCCTCCTCTTCTGGGAGAGTAGCAGTGTTTGTGGACTGTCCTGCTGGTTCTCTGTCCTTCTACACAGTCTCCTCTGACCAACTGACCCACCTCCACACCTTCAACACCACATTCACTCACACTCTGCTCCCTGGGTTTAAGCTCTGGTGGTCTGACTCCTCAGTGTCTCTGTGTGCTCCAACAGAGTCTCTACTCAATGTAAAATAGTCCAATATTTTTCATATATTTTTACGTAATTGAAAAAAATTGCAGTGTTAATTGCAGCGAGTGTCTGGATGAAGATAAATGTGTAGTGTGAGAGATATGTGTGGGTGTTATATGTGTACGGGACCAGAACTTTATGAAGTGTCATAAAATATTTGAAAAAACTCTTCTCTCTCTCTCTCTCTGTCTCATCTGACGCTCATGTGTCCTTGATTCAGGAACTAAATCATTTCAGCTCAAAATCAGTTGAAAAAAGACAGTTATTTTGTGTGGTTTATTAAGAGCAAAAGAAAATTCCATTCTGTCACCGGACCAAAGGTTTAGATGCACAGTTAGATGGTGACACACTTTGACAAAGCAGTTTTTAAATAGTCTGAAACCTCAAAAAAATAAAATAAATACAAGTGATTCCTCTCTCTCTCCTCTCATTCAGTCCATATTTCATTTCTTCCATTCCTGCTGTTTTTGCTGCTGTGTGACTGTGAGCGGGGTCGCCTCTCCACAGATCTGACCTGTAACCTGGCCTGGTAGAGTCACCTGCTTGTTTCCATGGAGATGTATAACTGTGATGACATACTTAGTTTTACCTGAAAAAACATGTGTTACTCTCAGAGGAGCCAAAAACTGTCCTCAAGTAAGAGTCACACTACTTCAGAATAATATTAGTCAAGTAGAAGTAGAAAGTCGAGGTCCAAGAAATGATCAGAAGTATTTGGGAAAAGTACTACTCAAGTCCGAGTCACTTAAAGAGGAGTGTGGGGACTGTTCTGGAAATCTTTCCATCAGTGTCTTTTCCTGGTTCTAGATTCATCATAAATGCTCCATCAGATGTCGACTGTTAAGTGACGTTTTCACAGCCTCTTGATTCTTACATCTTGGTTTTTAGATTAGTTTTTGTAATCTGAACTGTTCTCCCACGTACAACACTCTGTCCTTGTGTCTGTTGTTTATATCAATCTGAGCTTGTTCTTCTCCTGACTGTTGATCCAGCCTTGTGTTGACCTGTTCTCTGATGAGACTAGGTCTTATCTTATGTGTGTGTATCATCCCTGTGCCTTATGCCCCCGTGGGGTAGAAAGACTCTGTCTGTATTGTTCTGTCACAGTTTAGGACAGACGACTCTGTCAGGAACAGGGAGTTTTGGGATTGTGTGCACAATTGATTCAAGACGACTTTTCAGTTCTTTTTTCATGTTTGCAGTCTAGAAATTCCACAACAGGATGTAACATCTAAATAATAATCTGAAGTGAATGTAATCTGACAAAACATGCAATAAGTCCCAAAATCTGGCGTTTTCAAAGGACAGACACAAAAATGAGACAAACTAAATCAGATGTGAAGGAGCTGCAAGAAACACAAATGTTCAAATCATTTCATATTATCACATAAACCTTTTGTCCCTTTAGACTTCCTGACATTGTGAAGAGGAACAGGATTGGCCTAAAACACATTAATGCACCTGCAGTGTTGTGGCGGCCTCTAGTGGTGAAGCTGGAGACTGCAGCACAAACTATTTAAAGCTGTATTTCTCACTGATGTCAGCTCTGCTCCTGAAATGCTCGTTTTTAACAGTGGTGATGTGAGGGAGCGTAGGACCTTATAAATTAGACAAGCCCTTTTAAGTTTGACTATGTTGCTAAAGTCCAACAGCCTTTGCTTTTTCAGAATGTGGCAAACTTGTCAAGGTCCTCAAGAGGCACTGGCGTCAGATCAGCTGTTGCAAAAAAAAGCAATTGATGCGTTGGTTTTATCCATGGGCACATTATATACAGTGGAAGGAAGTGTCAAGATCGTCCCACCCTGAGCCCCACTGCGCTCCCCACCGCCCAACAAGCCAACGGCCATCACAGACAAGCCACAGGCTGACAGTATAAAAAAGTGGACTAAGCTCGTGTGACGTCACCCGTAGTGTTCGGCGCCATTCAAATGAAGCTCGCGATGCTAATGGCTACAGGTGCCAGGTTATATATTATGAAAAGGATTTTTTTCCACAGACAAAAAAAAACAACAACAAAAAACAGAATCATGATGTTGAGCTAGTTAATACAAACATTTTAAGACCAAAATGACGAGGCTCAATGCAGCAGCTACAGAGAGAGGGACGACAATATTCCAGTGTAAGCTGAATGGGAGCCAGAGTCAGAAGGAGCCAGAAGAGCCAGATGTGAACCTCCTACTTGGAACACGGCAGCTAGTGTGTTAGCTATGTCCATTTATATAAACAGTCTATGGCCAGACCGTGTCTCCCGTTCGCTCCTCATGTCTCTCACTCACTCCTTGTGTCTCCCGTTCATTCCCTGCGTCTTCCGTTTGCTTCCCGTGTGTGTCCCGTTCACTCGCCTTGTCTCTGTTCTCTGTCTCCCACTCGCTCCTTGTGACTCCCACTCCCTCCTTGTGTCTCTCACTCGCTCCTTGTGTCTCCCACTCCCTCCTTGTGTCTCTCACTCGCTCCTTGTGTCTCCCACTCCCTCCTTGTGTCTCCCACTCCCTCCTTGTGTCTCCCACTCGCTCCTTGTGTCTCCCACTCGCTCCTTGTGTCTCCCATTCACTCGGCTTGTCTCTCGTTTTCTCCCCTTGTCTATTGGGAAGGCATCCAGATGGTCCATAAAAACACATTCTGAGTGCCTCTCTCACAGTGTGTTCCATTCATTATGATCACAAGGTAGTTGGATTTTTGCTGGACAGAGCATTGTCATTGCCAGACAATTACGACCCAGAGAAGGGGCTGCACTGAGCAGGTAAAGTGTCGGTGACTTTTTTTTATTACTTATCAACCCAAATGTCCCATACTCATGAATGAGGGATTCTTGTCAGCACCTCCTTTGCGCTGTAGGCAAGGCCAAAATATCATTCTGCAGGCTGCAGTTGAAACCCCTACTGTAAATGGTCTTTGTTAAATTTATTCAGAACTGGTAATCAAAATAAAATGTCTCATGTCCGAAGTAGGCCGAGATTCACGAGGCCCGCACTGGCAGAGTCTGCCGCCTACTACGACAACCCTTCATTACAGCATGTCTCAGTTTAGAAGTGCTGGTGTTCCAAGACCTTTTAGTATTGTTATTCAGACACGTCATATTCCCCTCCGTTAGGCTACATGTGCATATTCAGGCTGCTGTCCATAGTGCTGAATGCAGCAGATTGGTCAATAGGTAGGTAGGTAGATAGACAGATAGATCAGCTTTACTGACCAGCTTTACTGATTCCCAAGGGAAAATTCAGTATATAAAAGACTTTTTTTTTTTTTTATGGAAAAGTGTATCTGAGCTGCGGCCTGTGGTTAGTTGCGCTCGTCTAACTGCTCTGCATTTCCGACATCACGGAACAGCCACAACCTTTATTTTTGAATGATACAGTAGGGCAAACAGTAATCCCTTAAGTAGACTACAAAGCTCAGTGACAGTTGCTATAGTAAACCATATCCCCGACAATCTGGGAGATGATCACAGCCAGGTGAGGTGAAACTGACTGAGGGACAAAATAAGTCTTATGGTGGTGTAGATTTGAGTATTGTTTTTCTATAAATTCTCGGTTCAGTTTAAATTAAAATTAGGACTTGAAGGCCATTTTGTAAGCCTAATGTGGACGGTTCATTCCAGTAATCCCACACATGGTGTGTAAGAACACCTTTGAAACTGTGAAGTGATTAATGGTGATTTGGGATTGTAACCAAATTAAGGCAAGATTAGACCAGGTTTTGTGATGGTGTTGTTTTTTTCATTGTAATCTCTCAATCTGGAATGAGCTGTAGATGTTCAGACTATAATCTAATCTAAAAAGGAGGCTCTGTTCACACCTGCACTGCACTGAGATATGGATTGTAATAAAGATATAAACCCATTATTAAAACCACAACTTTACTATGTTTTAGCTTCAAATGTTGAATTTGAAGCTAAAACAGTTGAAGCCTATACAGCAGGGGTGCTCACACTTTTTCAGCATGTGAGCTACTTACAAAATGACCAAGTCAAAATGATCTACCTAATACAAAGTCAAGCAAACTGCACTGAAACACTCTGTGCCCCTTTTTTGGACCCTCACCCACAGTTTGAGAACCCCTTCTTTAAGAGAACTTCCTCTGGCACTTTACACAAAACTGTGAAAAAAGTGAAGGAAGATTTTTAAACCTGTTTTTTAAAGTTCTAAACTGGAGTTACATTCTTTTCTGGTTTTGCAGTGATATTTAAAAAGAAAACAGAAAACGCACACTGCTAACCACTGCTGTGGTCCAAGACAAGAAAAATATCTGATGAAGGCTTTTTTTGCCGAAACGTTATTTTGTTAATAAAATAGTATTTGGACATCGGCCAACCGAGTGTGCTATGCATTTTTTCACTCTGATTTGCAGTGATATTTACCAGCCTCTGCACGTTTACCAAACCAAACGCACATCGTGACAAACACAGATGCATTTGTGCACTTTTGTTAGACAAACTTCAGCCAAATGTGGCAGTAGGTCTGTTCTGTAGATCCGCTCTATGCTGTAGACCTGCTTTGTGCCAACACTGGAACACAAATTTAGATTCGTTTTTGCTTCACGTTTGGTCTTGTTCTTCTAATCAGCCGCACTGTGGGAGGGGCTTGTGTTGGCTGTACGCAGGAAGGAGCGAGAGCGTGAAAAGGCGAGGGGCGGCGTGCTGACGTGAGGCAGATGGACAGGTAGGATGTTTAGGAAGTTGAACCTGCCCTGTGATGCACGCTGGTACACGAGGGCACACGCTGTTGCAGACGAGCCGTGCATAGGGAGCGTGTGTGTTTGTGATGTGCCGTAGAGTCTCCGCGGGTTTCAAATGAGCGCACAGGCTGCACTGAGACGCCCCACACGCTCCTGCACCCGCTACAAGTTTATTACCAACAGCAGCGGCCGGAATGAAATATGATCACACTTGTTGAGTGTCAGACCTCGAGTGAGAGACAAGACCAAGTCCGAGACGAGACACGGAGATGTACCCACACGACCTTGGCGATTGACTGGTAGATCGCGATCGATGTATTGAGCACCCCTG